TAATTATATTTTAGATTTTTTATATTTTAAAATAAGATATTTATTCTCTATTTGATTATGTTTATTCGCAATTAGTTACACGAATTCAAACATCGAGCTTTATATAAATTGTAATTTTGCATAATTTACTTGTAATCTTGAATTTTAAGTAAATATTGGTTTTATATGATTTTGAGAAAGTGATAATGTTTTTATTTTTGAATAAAATATAAATTTAAAAATATCATAAATTTTTGAAAAAAATAATATCGATATCGGTATTAAATTAATCTTTTTAAAAGTTCTTGTATTTTGGTGTAATTTTCTTAATTAAATTTTTTAATTATAATTTAATTTAGGTTTAGTAATAAAGAAATTTAATTTAGATTTAATAATACAATTTTTTATAAAGATAATAACTAAGTATTCTGTTATGAGATATTTATATAATATTTGATTATGTTTATCTGTAGTTAGTTAAACGAATTCAAGTATAGACTTTTAATAAGTTGTACTTATGTACAATTTACTTGTAATCTTAACTTTTTAAGTAAATATGCATTAATAAACAGTACTTTATGCATAAAAAATAATTTTTAAGAGTCTTTATCAAATGTTTTATAATATAGTATAGATAAAATTTATTATAAATTATTATTTTATAAAAAATTTGTTTGAAAATTACTAATTTATATAAATTAAATTTGTCAGAAATTATTATTTTATAAAAAGTTTGTTGAAAATTATAATTTATATAAATTAAATTTGTCAGAAATTATTATTTTATAAAAAGTTTGTTGAAAATTATAATTTATATAAATTAAATTTGTTGGAAATTATTATTTTATAAAAAGTTTGTTGAATAGTACCACTTTACACATGATCCGTTAAAATATAAACAATGTTAAAAATTATAAAATAAAAAATTACTGAAGCCGAATATTCGACCATTTAATAAAAAATGATTATTATATTAAATTTATCAAGTAAAGTCAAAGTATGGTCCACAATTGACACTTGGACATAAGACTCTCGATATCAGTTACCATAAATTTCTCGAGCATTTTCCTTCGAGCCGAAGAAAGTCGAATTCTGTGACTACTAGAAGGTTCCTTCTGACAATCGGAAGCTTTTCACTTCTAGGTACGTCCCTCTCTCTGTCTCTTTACGTCTATTCACATCTCTTATGTGTGTGACAGCGAGACTTATTAAGATCCACAACAAATTTCGAAATCTCAATCGTCGGTATAAAACTCCATTCATTTCATCTTATTTTCAAAGGATTTTGCATTAAATTTGTGGGATCTAATCAGCAATTGGGGATTTTTGAATTTGGATGTTAATGTGGTTGTAAATCTAAGAACTCCGATTGTCAAAACGTCTAACCCGATCTTGAATATTAAATTGTCGTGAATTCTTTTTATGGAATATATTACTGGTTTATTTTATACTAACTGTGTCGTATAGTCACGATCAATACAGTAAAATAACCATTGTTGACATTAGTTGTAGCAATTTGTTCAGAAGATTGGGGGTTTTAACTTCTTTGAGTAAAATAACAATTTATTGCTCCATTTGTTCGTCTATTGAACTTGTATCTGGCAAACAAAGAGAAATACCCAAAAATGGGATGTGAGAGTCTTGTAATTTATGTAACTTAGGGTTTTCGATGAATTTAGTCGAATAGGAAATAAAAGGGTATGTCGAATTATGATTATACTATAATGTTTCTATAATTGAATATATGTGACCTTTTTGTTTATAAGATCCAGCAAGGATCATATATCTATGTTACCCGACATAAACTCCAAAATAACTAATGTCGATCATTTTTGTTGTCTATTTCTTATTTTGGCGTTGAATCGGAAGAGAATGGCTTTATATATATATATATATATATATATATATAATATATATATATATATATATATGTATATATGTCAATAACACACTTTATATTTTACATTATTAGTTATTTAACTCGCTTTACTTGGAATTTTTCACATACCTGATTGAATAACTCGATTTCAATTTTAAATTGTAGTTTTAATGTTGTAAGTTTCTTTAAATTGTGTTCTCCAAACCCTTTTTTTCTAAGGATAGGGGGAGAAATGGGAGTAAAGTAAAAACTCGTGTTTTTTGATAAAAAAAACAGGAGATAACAGAGAAAAATAATGATAAGTTTCCTCTCAAAAATAAAAATGCTTATAAAACTATTAAAATCACAAAATTATCCAATCATTCATATACTAAATTATATATTTTAAAGGGTATATTAATAAAAACGACATCTTTCATTTCCTTTCTTCCCTTTTAAGAACACGAAAAAATATTTTATTTCCTTTTTTGTCCTTAAAAAATTATTTTCACTCTCTTTTTCTTCCATTTTTTCTCTCTCTCCAAATTCGAGAACGTAACGTTAGCGTTTAAAGACACACAAAGAAGAAGAAGAAACCAAAATTTCGTATCGACTACTTTTCGTGGATGTATAGGTTCATTAACGTGCCGAGATTCGTTATTTGTCCACAGAATCAAGAATGGAAGGGGATGGATTTGATGCAAGGAAGTGGGAGGACCTTGATCTCGACGTTCTGGTGACGATATTTCAGAAATTTAACATTTTGGAGTTGACTTCTGGGATTGGACATGTCTGCAAATCATGGCGTTATGCTGTCTGTGATCCTCTATTATGGAAGACTCTTGATTTCTCAATGTTGACATCCAACTTCATAAAAATCCCGCTAGAGCCTTATGTTTATGTGGATCGAAGATCTGATAAACAGCTCACCAAACTTCTCAAGATTGCTTTGAATCTTAGCTGTGGAAATGCCACAAGTTTGATCTTCCATGTCAATCTGTATGTCAATGATGATCAGTTGGCATATGCTGCTGAAAGGTATCATGTTCGAACCTTGACCTCCAAGAAAGCTAGGGTTTAGTGATTTACGGTAACTTGGATACTGTTGGGCCAACGACCCTTTGGTATATGACTTCTTTTTGATTGTGAAACAGGTGCCCGAAGCTCAAACGTCTAGTGATGCCTGCGTGGAATCGGATAAAAGAGACCGGGATTTGCAAGGCCATTAGCATGTGGAAGGATCTTGAATCATTGACAATGCCAAGCATAGCTGATCCATCGTGTTTCATGGAAGAGATATCCAAACACTGCAAGAAGTTTTCAGAACTCAAAATCATGGGTGTATGTGACATCGAATTCGTGCAATCACTCGTCCAATATGTTCCAAATCTGAAAGTTTTAAGCCTTCGTTGCTCGATTCTCTACAAGGACGCTTTGCTACTGGTCCTAAACGGCTTAATGAACCTAGAGGTGCTCAACATATCTCATAGCCTAATTGTGGAAGGCCCTCCACCACCTGCTCCTATAAAAGTGGTGGAGGAGCTCGATGAATCGATTCTGGAAAAGGGTTCGCGATTGCGCGAGTTCTTGACGTGCATGAACGATTCGTGCATTATGTGCCAGAGGATGAAGATGGATGAAGGGCTTATGAGGTGGTACAGGTACGAGAAAGGACTGTGGAAGGAAGATGAGGTGAGTTCTCTTGCAATTTGAGATTTTAGATGGAATGGAAGTTGCTGAATGAGTTGATGTAGTTTGTATGTGGTTGAGATATCCAGCTGTTGACTACATATTATATGGCTGTTGACTTCATATTATAAGGATATGCCTAGTTATTTATGTGCTTTTGTTTGTTGTTTTGATTGTCTTATTAATTATATATAAATCCACCGTAAAAGAAAAAAAATCAGCGGGGCCATGCCGGTACGGTTGAATATGCGTTAGAAAGGTAGCAACATATTTCTGCAAAAATGGATGTAACGGTTTATGAAATTAGGTTTGAAAACATGAAACATACATTGCTCGTTTGTTTTCGTAATTCTCAATGATTTGGTAAAAAAATTGAATGCATAAAATTTTATCTTGCCTATAAGAATTTCAAACAAGTTATAACTACTATGAGTATCTTCAATAGTTATGTTAAAATGATGAAAAAAAATATTTTAATAATTTTTTTACTCTAACAACTATGCTATTTTGTGTGTTAAAATAAATAAAAGAAGAGAGATTGTAAAAATCTTTAAATTTAGAAAGAGAAATTGTTATTTTAATATTTTTTTTACCAATAAAACATATTAATAATGAATGTCAAAAAAGAGAAAAAATGTTTTATTAAATATAGATAATATTTTAATAATAAAGTTAATGTTAGAATTATTATAATAAATAGTTATTAGAATTAGATGTAATTTTTTTAAATATTTAACTTTTCACACTCTATTTAAAAAAATTAGCGTAACTTTTCTTTCACTTTTAATAATTATAATTATACTTTTTTCACATTTAAAATAAATATGAAATTTAATAATTATTATTTTCAAGAAATTACGGTAGGTGGACAATAAATTCTCCAAAATATAAAATCAGAAGTCTAAAGTTTCATATAAAATTTATATGATTTATATTATTTATAAAATATTATTTTATATTCATTTAATTTCTCAAAAAAATAATTTTAAAATCCCTAATACCTCCCTTTAAAAATTCTGTTAAGGATGATGTGGCGCGTTGTATGCTTGCAAGGGTACGGAGGTTTGTCAAAATGGGACCTCTGCTGCCCCTCTTTGACCAATTTTTTATATTATATATTTTTATTTAAAATTTTAATTTAATTAATTGAGCAACATATTTTTAATAATGAAAAAGTTAATGATAATATATTCACATTATTATTAACTATTTTAAATAATAAATTACTTTTCAACTACTTATACTCTTTAAAATAAAAAATCTTCCATATAATATTCAAAATAGATAAAGAAATGGGAGTTTTTTTTTTAATAAACATAAACTTCAGAATAGTGAAAAGAAATGTGAGCAAATAAAAATAGGATTGCTATTTGCACCATTTTTTAATATTAATTCTATTTTTAATATTAAAATCAGGTCAGTTTATATATTGAGAATGTAAAAAATGAGTTTTGATGTTAACGTAGGTAAAGAAAAACCGTTAGATAGGATGCATTTAACAATCTATATAGATATAATCAGTCTTCTCTTAAAAAAAATTATATTTAAAAGAGAAAAGAAATCTATATAATTAAATTTCATAAAATAGATTGATTATTAATTTTTACTTATTTTGAATGAAAGAGGGGGTGAAAAAGAAAATAAATTATAAATTTATAAATAATATTTTAAAGTGTTAAAACTGTTAATTAGTTGTGTTTTTATTTAAATAAATAAAAAGGTAGATAATAATGTGAACATTGAATCTTGGTGAATATTTTGTCGATATAATTTAGGCGTTTCAGTCGATAAATCTCTCTCCCACACACACCATCATCATCGTCATCATCATTATTATCATCATCCATCACCATGGCCATCGAACTACTGGAGACTCTCAAAGACGCAATAACCGCATATACCGGACTATCTCCGACCACTTTCTTCACAGTAGTCGCTTTGGGTCTGGCCGTCTACTACGCCGTCTCCGGTATGTTCGGTGGCTCCTCCGATCATCAACTACAACAAAGGTCTAGTTCTTTCGAAGCCATGCAACCTCTGCCGCCACCGGTTCAGCTCGGGGAGGTTACCGACGAGGAGTTGAAAGCGTACGACGGAACAGATCCGAAAAAGCCTCTGCTTATGGCCATCAAAGGTCAGATCTACGATGTCTCACAAAGCAGGTATATCATTATCATCATCGTAAATGGCACAAATTGTGATATAATTCAAAGCTAGTTAAAATAAAATTAAAATCGGGTAGTCGGTAGGGCTCCATTACCCTTTTTTGGCTTATATAATTCATATATGGTTTACGAGTTACGACCTTAAAGGAATCTACTTATACTGAATTTTGGTTAGTTGTTCTATGATCTATTATCCACCCCCCTTTTTAGTGATCATTTGATTTCCAATGTTATCTGTTGATGCTTTATCTAGGGCACAATCTTTATGAAATTCGAGTAAACTACTAATATATGTTGATTTAGGCAATTAGGGTTTTTAGTTGGCTTCTAGGCCAAAGTTGGTGCTCTCTGGTCGCTTCTTTCTTTTTCCTTCTCCAAAAAGTTGATTACCATCGACCCAACTAGGGGCGGACCCACGGGCCAAGTTCGTGGGCAATTGTTTCTTAGACTTGTACGGAATCCGCTTCTAATGACACTAATGAGGGGCAATTGTTTTTGCAACGGTAAAGGGTAAGGGGATAGAACGCGGGACTTATTTTGTATTTGGGCAAAGTCGCTCCATCCCTTTCCAACTTTACACGACAAAGGCGCTTTCTGGTGGCTTTTTGATTATGTTTCGAGTGTGATGTACGCTATATCAGATTCATGACCGCACCCGAACAGTATTTGTACCAATCTTTTGGAGTTTTAGTTAGGGGTGGTAATCGGTGATTCTTTCAGGATGTTTTACGGTCCAGGTGGTCCTTATGCACTGTTCGCCGGAAAAGATGCTAGCAGAGCTCTTGCAAAAATGTCCTTTGAAGAAAAAGACTTGAATGGTGATCTCACAGGACTTGGTGTTTTCGAGCTTGACGCGTTGCAAGATTGGGAATACAAGTTCATGAGCAAGTATGCAAAGGTTGGATCCATCAAAGCACCGGAAACTGTTCCTGATGCAACAACTGCTGAGCAGCCTGCTGAGTCCACTGCAGCCCAGCCTACCGAGCCGACTGCTGATGAGCCTACCGAGTTGACTGCAGCCGAGCCTGCAGAGCCTGCTGATCATCCCAAGGTTACAGAAGATACTCAATCAGAAAATGTAGCCACAGTAACAAAAGAAGAAAGCTCAACTACAAGCGAAGCCAATAAAGAAGATTGAAGTTACAATGTGGGGTAATTGGGTGCAAATGGTTTATAATTGTTTGTCATCATATGCTAAAATTATAGGATTATAGCTCGGACACAATGCCGTATCCGGTGTTTACGAGGATTGATCATGGCCATATTATGAGAGTTAATCAAATATCATTGAGTTGAACTGAATAGAAACGGTGACAATTTTTAGAATGAATCATAAAGATTCGATTGATCCCTTTTATATATGAGTGTCCTAGTCGGTTTGCATCCACCTGTCACGGCCCCTAGAAAATAATAGTTAGGAAAATCTCTGGTGGTCGTTAACGAGACTCGGCTTATTCAGTTAGTTATGCATGATTTTTTAACGGTGGCTTAATGATATAGAATGTTACTTATTCAGTAAGTTTCTAGGAGTTTTAGGAAGAAAATCAAGTTTTTTTCCAATTAAAAGCACGATCCTTCCGTCTATAAAAAACTTTCTCAAACAAAAAATTTCTCTATCCATACTACCAGATAATTAATCCGCATGAACAACTTTATTCATACATGACTTAATGAAAAACCAGTCTAACAACCCTAAAGAATGAAGAATGGTTACGACGAGCTTGGTCCAACAAGGTAGTGGACCGACAATGATTAGACATTTAGACCATGTGTTATCCACCCGTTCTAGCCGGACAGAACCCACTTCACAATTGATGCAAAAGCTTGCATCTCTTATCTCGTAATCACATCCGAAGTAACAGTGTCGGACATTTATCAAATATGATTTTTGATCGACTATCAAAATAACTGTTAATAAACACCAACCGTTAAGAATCACCGTCTTCAATTATCAAATCAAATTATTGATTGGTAAGATAAGTGACTTAAATACTTGCTCAAACGTTTGGTGAAGGTCCAGAAGATTTATAATAACAAAAATAAAGGCCTGCTTCATAAAATTTTTAAAAGCAAAACATTGATATCCACGTGTCCATCGATTACAGGGTCAAGGAATGAAGATGGTATATAAAATGGTAGATTTCGTAATCAACCTTAGTCAGTTTCACGTCGTCTTCATCTGACATTCTCTCATTCCATGTATCGAGAGTAATGAGTTTTAAATTAAATGTCAACTTGTTTCAATAAATAAATAAATGTCAACTTCGAAAATAAGTCGTACATAAAATATACAAAGTCAACGTCACAAATCTATCCAACATTTCTATTTTTTAAGTCTTGTTTATATGACGTTAAGAAATTCGACAAGCAAGCGTGATCCCATTTATTCATGTAAACGGGTAGCGTTTTTAATTGTATATTTTATTAGGTTTCAATTTTATCTCTTCATTTTTGTCTGCATCTTGTGATAACAGACTATGATTTTGACTTTCGTGTGTTGACCTTCCATTTTATTAATCTATTTGATTTTATCTTAATGTTATAAAATTTAAATAATTATACAAAATTCTGTGAGAATTATGCCATTCACAATTGAGATTTCCCTATAAATAGATGGCTTCGACTACCTAAAACCACATCCCATTTTCTTACATCTTTTAAAACATTCTCCGTTCTTGATCTACTTTGTTTTTTGAAGATGAAGATTCAAATGTCTGTTATGTTTGTGCTTACGTTATTGCTTGTGTCGTCAGTGTACAAGTCGAGTTGCAGGAACATCGTTGATCGTTCAATTAACGAAGAAATGATCCGGGACAACTTCATTTCAACGTTTAAACGTTATTTCAAGGTCGACCCAAAGTTGAAGAATGAAGAAAATCAGCAAGTTTATGTAGTGTCACGCCGACTCGTTCCTTGTGGACCAAACCCACTTCACCACTAACCAAGAGTCGTGTATATCTTCTTTTGGAAACCAAAAGATCGATAAAATCTTGTTTTTTAATGTATCAGATGTTTACTATCACTTTGTAATAACAATATAAGTATCTACCAAATATGACTTGTTGATAGATATTATGTACCGAAAGAAACAAAATCACTCAAGTGTCGTGTAAACAAAATCAGTTTGTCTAAACTTTTGTTTGATAAAATTGAATGATTATATGTGCAATGGAGATTCAGTTTAGAATTGGTATTGAATAAAAATGGTTGTTTGATAAGTATTTTGTATGAAATACGTAATTGCCAATAAATTATCATTTTAATTGTTTAAAATACTTTTTAAAAGCAATATTTGATACATTTTTTCCGAATTGTGAGATATGATTTTCCAAAAAATATCTTGATGAGAGGATAAACATATATATATATATATATATATGTATGTATATATATATATATATATATATATATATGTATATTAAAATTCAGTTGATGTAGTACTCTAACACGCTCCATTCAAATGAGGCTATACTGGACACTGAGATTCCAAATTGTTATGTCGCAAACACAATCACAGTAGTAAAATCTCACTTTGATATCATATAAGATATATGAAAAGACGTGAGCTAAATGCACTCCTATATTGTTAAATGCATCCATATCTAGTACTTTTTTTTATCACATACATCAATATCAAAATCCACTTTTTACATTATGAATGTATGATTTGGCTTGATTTTGATATTAAAGAGGTGCAAATAGCAATCCCCATATGAAAACTCATCAAATTAATCTCCAATAGTCAAGACTCAGACTCTAACATGAGCCATGTTCATTGGTTGTGACTTGTATAAATAGAGGAGAGGTTTTTTACAAAACTAACAATTTAGTAAAAATATTAAAAACAAATTAATTGAGATATTTATATAAATTATAAGAGAAGAAAGATTACAAAAATTATTTGAATATAATAAATGCTTTATTTTAAAAAACAATCGAAATATTCATTGAATCAAATATACATTAATCTAGACAAAATAGTTGATATTGGTTTATATAGTAGGGGTATGCAAAACCCTAATTTTCCGAAATCCGAACTCAAACTCGTGAAAATAAAGTATTTATGTAAAACCCGATGTCCTAAAATTCAAAAATCTAAACATGACCTTTCGGGGGAAATTTGGGTTTGGGTTGACTTTGATTCATGGCCACCCGATCGGTCCGAAAACCCGATATATATATATATATATACACACACACACACATTAAAAGGTTGATAAATCGATAGTATACTTAGAAATTAGAAGAATAAAATCGACCAACTAAGATTTTTAGAAGTCTTAAAAGATAATTAGATAAATAAGTATATTTATATAGTATTTAAAATATAGGTTTATATATATATATATTGCATTATAACTAAACCGAACCCGATCGACCTCAATACGAAACTCGACCAACCCGAACATGAAGCAATTCGAAATCCAAAAATCGGGACTTGATTTCTATATCCAAAATTTGATCGGGTTTTTTTTTTTTTTTTTCCCAAAACCCACCCGGCCTATCTGATGCACAACCCTATTACATAGTTTGTAATAATAATTGAGTTTGTAAATAAAACTATAAATAAATATAATTTTTATATTTTTCAATAGTTATTTTTTGTCTACGGAGCGTTAGAAAGCTGCTTGGCAAAAGGGTAGAAAAGGAAAAGCAAAACAGAAAAAGGAGAAGGTCGACGCAAATCTGTATCTGGTTTCTCTGGAGCAACAACCGACGTAGGAGCTACAAACCGATCTTCTTGTCGCCGGCCGTCGACGTACTCATTTTATTCGCAAAAAGGGTAAACGAGTCTCTCACCGGCGTTTATTTTTGGATCTGCATTCATTTGTGATCGAGTATTATTGTTTTTGACCTAATCGATCCGCATATATCCCCTTTGAGTTTTCTATCTTGTCTTTTTTAGGAGATCGTATATTTACGAATACTACAGTAATCACTACTTTTAGATTACTGCACGTAGTTTTCTGATTTTAAGCTTGGGAATAACTTAGATGTGATTGATTGTTTCTGTTTGTTAGTGTTAATTTGACGTTTTCTCTAATTGTTCCTTTTGTTCATATTGAGTAAATGTTACTATGCTATATAAGAGAAGAGTGTGACGTGCATATTATGTTTTGTCTCAGCAAGTCAGTTACTCAACTGCTTCTTGTGATCCTTAGAATTCAGAATGTCTACAATGGGAGATACGAGGTAACATTCAATGACATCTGCCTTTAAATTAGTACTCTTCTATGTTGATTGCCATCTTCGCATATGATGAAATTGTGTTGGATTTTATTGTCTCCCTTGAAGATTGTTGGACTGAATTACTGAAAGGACCTTCTTTAGAAGACACAATACGTTTGATAACAAACTAAACCACCCTGCATCCAATTCTAGTGCTTGTTCTTGTTCTTCCTTGAAAATTGTTTGACCTGAAAGACCTTTCGACAAGGCAATATGTTTGATAACAAATTATACCATCTTACCATCAGATTCTTGTTGATGACATCTATCTCTTTTGTATAGGAAACCCTGTCTGATGTAACGTCAGTATGTGCTTATTAATCATGACCCATAACTTGTCTAATTTTTTTTAATTGATATTAAGTTGATTTATCATCGAGACCAAGTTCATCAGATGAGCGTGAAAGCATGTGAAGCAAATACAAAAAAAAAATTATGTACGAATATTGTGTTACACCAAGTGTGGCCTTTGTTAAAAGTTAGTGCAACCTTACTGCAAATTTATTGAAAACATGGATGCTCTAGATGTGAAATTTCTCTTGTTTGGGTGCTTCTTTTTAGTTTTTTTGTTATTTACAACTTTCATTTGTTTTATCTATTATTTACATTGGTGGTATATTTGGGTGGTTGGTTGGAGAAAGTTTTGTTAGTGGAAAGAATGGTAATATGGACGAATAGTTGGAGAATGTTGAGTTAGTGAGATTAGTGGATGTAGTGATTTAAATGTATGCATCTTTAACCTTGAATAGTATTTTAGATTTTTCCTTCCAGACATCCATTGTTCTTTTTGATTACTTTTCTGTTCATTTTATGTTGTCAAAATATGTTTTGTTGGAGAAGTTTGGAAGGGAAATCAAACTATGTCATGGAACAAAAACAAAAAAAAGAGTCTAGTGTAGAAAGAGGTGGCAACTCACAAAGTGAGTAATCTGTTACATGCTTCAGATCTGTGGAAGTTGACCATGTCAAGAAATATTATTGGTTGAAGATTGCCTAAGCCAACGTTGTGTGCATAGATGAAAGAGATGATCAGCCAAAATGGAAGCAATATTTTTTTAATTAGAACTGTTGAACAAAAGCCAAAGCAAGCTTTCGTCAATTATGGCAACAATAAATAGGAATGGATCGTCAATGATATGATAATAATTGGAGGTAATGAATCAGAAATGTCTAATTTGTGGAATGGTCTGTCTGTTCGTGTTGACATGAAAAACTTTGCAAAGATTAGATGTTTTCTTGTTCTAGAAGTGGAAAAATCAGATCAAAGTTATTTTCTTTCTCAAATAGCCTACGCAAAACGTCTCTTGAGAGTTTTTTACTTTCTTTTTTCGCCCGGGGGGATTATCATTGTTTCTGGGGGTTGCACCTTTTTATCATTTATTTTGGTTCCATTTTTAGCCAAAGTCAGTTAGTTTGGGATGAGAGCTCTGTTGTCACTGTTATTGTCTTACCTAGTACCAATAGTCTCCTCCATTGTCATTCTCGGTTTCCTGGATATCGTGCAAGAACGTAGCAGTGAATATATGTATTCAATCAGTGTATGGAAGTTCCTTGGATGTTATCACTTAGTCATCGTGAAGTTGTGCAGCTATATGAATTCACCGGTTATGGACTGGTGGATAGATGTTGGTGTATGAGCGATTCGTGCGTGAGTGTGTAAAGAACCTGAATAGAGTCAGGAGAGGGTTGGCAGAGGGTTAAGACATGGGAAAGAGAAGAAGAAACCATCTTTCTTTTGCTGTTCAAAGCATGGGAAAGAGAAGAAGAAACCATCTTTCTTTTGCTGTTCAAAGCANCATGGGAAAGAGAAGAAGAAACCATCTTTCTTTTGCTGTTCAAAGCATGGGAAAGAGAAGAAGAAACCATCTTTCTTTTGCTGTTCAAAGCAGGGAGAGCGGGGGGGCTGAGGGGGGAATTGCATGTACCCTTAACTCAAAAAACTGAGCAAAATGAGTACAGGGCAACAAATCACTGCCTGTAATGCAAAACTGACTACACTACTAATATAATATAGCGTGCATTTCACAATTCTTTTCCACCCCCTCACCAATTGATTGGTGAGCCAGCAAAGTTATCAATGTCTGCGTCCTCTTTATCACACATGAATTCCCAAATATAGTCTTTTGTTGGAGTTGAGCTTTCTTCTAGCGATTTCTAACCCATTGTACTATTACGCTGCAGCGACCTTTAGTATTCTGTCTATAAAGTGTACATCTATGTTGTACGTTCAACGGTGCCTTTATGAGTCCACAAATTGTTATCTCCATGATTAATTTCTTAGATGAAGTAGATCTGTTACATATACTGTTTTCTGAAGCAGCAAGAGATCTGTGAGATGGGATGAGGAAAAACTGTCAGAAATCGAAGCAAACAAACCTGTAAGGCAGAAAATTACCGAACCAAAGACTCCTTATCATCATATGGCGGATGTTGATGGTAAGTTGTAGCATGTTCTTTCTGCAATACAAATTCATGTATATTAGATGTGTTAATTCAGCATTTTGTAAGTATTAGGTTGGAATTTGGATGTACCAAACCTTGTCCTGATCTGTTTGTCTTTACTGAATGATCGGATGTTCTAAAAATTTACGTGAGAGGTGACCTAATTGCCTAACAAGCTATGCACAAATGTCTGAAGCTTGATACAGTGAATATTCACAGAGCAACAGCATAACAACTGGGATGAGGAATATTCCTGAAGGCCTGAGAACGATGATGATATTACTATACAGTGCTTTTGTAAATAAATGCTTTATGCGAACAACTTTGAATATACAACAACCTAGATCAATAAGGACAGTTATCCGATCCTACCATAATGTTTTTTAGATCCATGGCCAGTAATCGTTTGGGATGTAACCTTCTATTCCTGTCATGATGACATCCTTGCTATATTGGAAATACTTAATCCTGTATCTGTTATGTCGAGAATTCTTTTATTGTTGCAATCATATTAGCCGAACCCTTCTGTGTAGGATCTTTGTCGCCTGTAAGGAATCCTTGTTTCTCTGAAAGGGATGATGATACTGTTCCCTCTGCATTCAATGATATAATCTCTTCCAACAGTAACCATAACTCACACCCCTCTGGCTGGACATCATCAGAGGAAGAAGCAGATGTTATGGATGAAGACGATGAAGGTCCTTCTCGTACCCTTTTTCTCTAATCATATTTTTTTAGTTCATCTTGCATCATGTTTTTGAATATCTTGTTTTAGGCTTTATCTTTAGTTGTATCCCATCTTTAAAAGGTCAATTTGTTTTTCAGTGATTCTGCTGCGAGAAGCATGCTTTAGTAGTGCATAGTACTCAAACACATCAAATTTATTAAACTTGCATCCTTTACTGACAAGAATTCTCTGTTTAAAGGCATAAAGTTGATACCAAGTCTCTTTCAGCCTGAGATTCCAATTATTTTTTTCTCTGGGTGGTTGTTGTCTGCATCTAGAAATGGAATATTTTTCGATAGCCTGATATTACGTGTTAAAACTATTTGTCAGATATCTTAAACTCCCCTAATAATGACAAAATAATAGAATCTCAAAATCATAATACAACTAAGGGGGTGTTTAGTTTGTTTTCCATCCAATCTTGTATGGATAAAGCTGTATGTGTGGATTAATCTGTCTTTATAGATTGGGAAGGTTTTTGTTTGGGAGGGTTTTTTCATAGATGGGATGAGCATGTTTTTAATTGAGAAGGGCAGGATTTCTGCATAAAGCTCCTCCCTAGAAGCTTAATGAATAAGCCACTTTCTATATCATTAAGTCACTAACTACCAAATAGTCATGCGTAGCTAACAGAATAAGTTGTGAGTTCCATTAAACTCATTAAGCTGCTAACAAACAGGCCTAAGCTATATAATAAAAATGGGAGAACAACCGAACAAATAATGGGTAAAAGCGGTGAATCTAGTAGACATGGGATAAAAAAATTCTTGTTATTGTGGAAATGGTCATCAAGATAGATCATCAGACTTGCTTTGAACTAAGATATTAAAGTATGTTGTTCATCGTTCTGTATTGTTGTAGAAACTTTATTTGTTCGATGGGATTCCAATATGTGAGTTGAAAAATGGTGAGGTTCTGAAATAGGTCGGAGTTCAAGCTTCAAGGAACAGAGACGGGCACATTATGACGAATTTCATAAAGTAAGAGAACTCCGGCGAAAGGGATCCATGGACAGATCATCCAATGATGAGGATGAGGAGAAATCAAATGGGGAATCTGATACACCATCATCGCTGGCTGTTGGTGTGGAAGATATCGACATCACAGATGTTGAAGGTGTACCCGAACTACCTAAACATTCTTCATCCTGAATGAATCATTGGGCATCTAATCTATGGCTGAATTCACTAGTAAATCCTATCCCTGTTCTAAATTCAATCCTGACTTTGAAACTTTTGTTGTAAAATGATCTTAACTGTCTGCTAAACTTTTGGATTTTTAGAACACCGTAATTTCTTGAACCAGAGCCTCTGTTTTTGTTTTGGTTGTTTGTAGTTGGTTATATAATGTAATTTTGTTGAGTCTATGTTTTATGAGTAGCATTTGTTTGTTTGTTTTTTTGGTTCTGGCCTAATTCAGTATCTTGACATTTTGCATACCCGTTTGTAGGCCCGTTTCTGACATTTTTTAGGTCCTGAACGAGTTGCAAAAAGGGGCCCTCGATAAGTACGATATTTTTTCAATATATTGTTTTTATCATCAGAAATAACATTGAATTCATATAAAACCGTTTTTCCGAGTATTCCTGGACGCAGAATCAATCAATACTCATTTCTAAATTAATATTATCTAGTAGAACATTTTTATGTAGTTTCATTAATTTGTTTCATCATCAAAAACATTTTATGACATACTTTTGGTACATAGAATGATATCATTTGGAGTCACAAAGTCGATTCTTCTTATTTTCGAGTAACACTATGTAAATCAATGTAAATATGTTGGTTTTCCATGTCATTTTATGTTAATGTTTTTTAACATCATTTCAAACTTTTATATTATGTTTTCGAATTTGGAAAGATTAACACAATTTTAAACTTGTATACTATGTTTTAGAATTTGAGAAGATTAACACCACTTCAAACTTTTATATTATGTTTTCGAATTTGGAAAGATTAACACAATTTTAAACTTGTATACTATGTTTTAGAATTTGAGAAGATTAACACCACTTCAAACTTTTATATTATGTTTTTGAATTTGGGAAGGAAAGAAAGAATGAGAAAAGAAAAGAAAAATAAAAGGAAAGAAGAAAAATAAAGTTTTTTATTTGTGTTTTTAATACAGAAGAGAGATGAAGGAAAAATAATAAAATAGAAATAATTTTTGATATAATTTTTTTCCTTCCCTTTTCTTTTCCTTTTCCCTAAAAAAATCTCGAGAACATAATATTTTTCTTTTCCCATTACTTTCCTCTCTTTCCTACGTAAAAGAAGATTCAAGAACATAGAGTTAGGGTTAAAACAAACTTTTCTGTAATCATCGATTATATAAATTAAAAAACTTATGTTGGTGATAGTTTGAGATTTTATTCTTCTTTTAGAGATAGAATAGTACATAAGATTTATACACTAAATATTAGATAATAAAAAACAACTATGTAAAACAATTATAATTTTATTATTCTAAATATAGATATAAGTTGTACCATCTTATATGGTTGGAAAATTTTTCAAAAGATGAGGGTTTTGTTAGCTAATAACAAATTTTTTTTATCATATTCTAATATAAAAATAGAATTCATGCGAAAATGGAACAATCAAAGAGTCGATTGGAGATAAATTATGAAAAATATATCAAAGTTTTCTAAGCAAGTTGTTTTAGACGTCGGTTTTAGATTAAAAAACTTAGAAAAACATTAAATAATATTATATAATGAACGACAGATTAACATCTTTATGTATTTTTTTCTCCAATATATTTAATTCATACATGTTTGGGTCTTTTATAGTTAATGTAGTACAAAAATATTTTCTTGTCATATTATATACTAATTTTTTATGTGTCTACTATTTACTAATTTTTTTTAACTACTTTTATATATATTAACAAAATTTGGGCCTCTAACTTTTATGGCCCAGTCCCGCCCTCCCCAAGGGACGGCCCTGCCCGTTTGGAAGCGGTAAGAAATGATCTATATTCTTAGATCAATTTTAATTGAATGTCAACATTAATGAGGTATAGCAAAATACATCAAATCAATTTTCTTCTAAAACATAATTAATAAGATTAAAAATAATCAATTATTTAGATTTTTTCTTACACTTGAGGTCAATGAGAGGTTTATCCCGAGGATAAAGGTTTATCATATGGTTTAAAAGTGTGATTGTTTTGATGGGTTCGAGTTCGACTATTTCTGTAAATAAGACATATTCCTCGTGACATGCACGTGATGGAACAGGAAAAGATAAGAGATAGTGTGGAAGGGGCGCCACAGAAATTTCAGGTCAGCATTTGGCAATGGAGGTATCGAGCAGCGATTCCATGTCAGCTCTCGCCTCCAAAATATGCAATCAAATCAACTCCGTTTTCACCAAACCCACATCCACCCCATCTCCATTGGATGTCATGGTTAAAGAAATAGCTGCCGTCGCCGGCCGCCGTGGAAAAGTCTTCGTCTACGGAGTAGGCAGAGAAGGTCTGATGATGAAAGCCCTATGTATGAGGCTCGCACATTTAGGTCTTTCCACCCACTGCGTCGGTGACATGACCACGCCACCGATCTCCTCCTCTGACCTCCTTATCGCGTCGGCAGGTCCTGGTGGTTTCTCCACCGTTGATGCCATTTGTGGTGTCGCGAAATCGAACGGCGGTCGCGTGTTACTTCTCACCGCACAGCCGGAGTCAGGATCGTCTGTTAAGTATGCAAGCGTGGTGGCGCATGTCCCAGCTCAGACGATGGCGGATGACGGTGGCGAGGTGGAAGGAACAACACCATTGCTTCCGATGGGGAGTATATATGAAGGGTCAATGTTTGTGTTGTTTGAGATGGTGGTTTTCAAATTGGGTTCGGTTTTGGGTGAAAATCCCGATGAAATCCGTTCTCGCCACACCAATTTAGAGTAAGAAGCAATAATTCTTGTGGTCTATTTCCCATGAATTTGTGTTTAGGGTTTGTAGAATCGTTTTCTTGCAGGTGTTGGTGGAAAAGAAGATGTGAATCTATAATTCTTAGTTAATTATTCTGCTGATAATAAAACGATCATTTTTTGTAGAATCTAAGAGGTCGTTTACCAAACACTTATTCGGTAGGTGTTTACCGGTAAAGTCTAACATTATTATTTATTTATTGTATAAGATTTTAGTCCATCAAAACGACATCGTATGCAACAATTTATCCGGTAAACGCGTACATATATTTAAGAGAACGTAATTCATAGTTTGTTTTTGAAATAAATATTATTCACAATCGACTTATATCTATACTATATTATAAAACATTTTATAAAAACTCTTAAAAATCAATATTTATGCATAAAGTACCGTTTATTGATGCATATTACTTAAAATTCAATATTACAAGTAACTTTGCATCAATACAATTTATTAAAGCTCAATTTTTAAATTCGTGTAACTAATTGTAGATAAACATAATTAAATACAAGATAAATATTCATTTTAAATATAAAAAATCTAAAATATAATTAAGATAATTATTAAATTCTAACAGAATGTTTAATTATTAATCTTTATAAAAAATAATATTATTAAACCAAAAATAAATTACTTTGTTAATAAATTTATAATAAATTATAATAAAAAATTGAATTAAAGAAGTTAAACAAAAAAACGAGACTATTAGATAGTTAATTTGATACTAATATAAAATTATTATTTTTTCAAATTTGTATGTTATATTTCATTTAAAAATAAAAACATTATCGCTTTCTCAAAACCATATAAAATCGTATATCGATAGAGACAAATAATAAAAATTAAATATTAAAATCGAGATTTATCTCGTTTTATTGCACAAATAGTCTTCTAGTATTTAATAAAGCATATGATAACATTACTTTTGGTCGGATATCATCTTTTGCTTGTACTTTTTTTCCTAAAATTAATATATTAAATCAATTTTAATACGAATTTCAGTTTTTTAAAAAAATAAAAAAATAAAAGGAAAACATCGTTAATAAATACATTTTAATTTTTATCAGGTGTTTTGCAGATAATAATAATAAATACAAGTAGGTGATGGTTCCTGTGTTATATATTCAATAAACAAACAAAATTTATTGCAAGATTTTGTGTTTGAATTTGTTACATAAAAAGGTTGAAAATATGATAAAAAAGTGTGGATATAATAAACTCGAAATTTGTTGGTTAGCGTGATGGTGAGGTTAGGGCCACATAAATTGACAATTGTGACCCCATACCAAAACGCTAGAAAGAACCATGTCTACATCTCACTTTTCTGGATACTTCAAGATTTATTACAGATAATTAATTTAATATTAATATTTTATTTATTGTTATTACAATTACCCAATTTGATATCATTTCACACACACAAAATTTGTCTCTACAGTTTTTAAATTACAAGTTGGTTATTATGGTTTGCAAAACCATCTGGATTTGGTCTCTACTTTTAACGGTCGTTTAAAACTTCAGTTAAATTGAGAGGCATTTTCATCCTTTTATCGTTTTTTTGGGTCAAATGATCAAAATTATAAAATCAATTTTGATTATGTAAAAGACAGCATAATCGATAAAAGAACAAAACAGAATTTTTTAACGGCTGTCTGAGTGGTGGATCAAATCTAGGCGTTTATAAAAAGTGATATTTTTGATAAACAATAAAAATAGAAGTTTTGATACTTGAAATATATATAAAAGAATTTGTTTTCATGTAGTGTTTTATTATATTATAAAACAAAAAAATGAAAAAATAAATATTATTTTGTTTTGTTTTTCTTGAGAAAAATGTGTCGTGAATTATATAGAATATGGGTTCTATAAGTCTACATTCGTGTGCCAAAAACATTAAAGTACCATTTTATACGAAGAAATTAGAAGGTAATGATTCAACGTAAGTCGTAAATCAATATTAAAGTAAATGAACCAATTAAGTGTTGGGTTTACGTAAGACCAAGATTTTTCGTGAGACCCATAAGACAATTTATGTTTATTGATCAACTTTATAAGTTAATGATCTAATGGTCTAAAGTTGTACAGTGGCAATTTGTGATTATTGAGAAGTCTCGTGGCATTTATGAATGTTCAAATTGTCAGATTGTAGATCTAATCCAAGGGTTGAGAATTGGTCTTACGAGTCTCACGAAAAACCCTTGTTCTCACATGATCCCAAGACTATATATATATATATATGTGTGTGTGTGTGTGTGTGTGTGTGTGTATATACTATATTATAAAGTATTTGATAAAAACTTTTAAAAACCATTTTTTATACATGAAGTACTGTTTATTGATGTATATTACTTAAAATTCAAGATTACAAGTAATTTTGCGTAAGTACAACTTATTAAAGCTCCATTTTTAAATTCGTGTAACTAACTGCGGATAAACATAATCAAATACAAGATAAACATCCATTTTAAATATAGAAAATCTAAAATATAATTATTGAGTATAACAGAATATTTAATTCTTATCTTTATAAAAAATTATATTATTTCCAAAAATAAATTATTTTGTTATTAAATCTAAATTAAATTATAAAAAATTGAATTAAAGAAGTTACAACAAAAAAACGAGAATTATTAAATAATTAATTTGATATTAATATCAATTTATTTTTTAAAATTTATATTTCATTCAAAAATAAAAACATTCGCTTTCTCAAAACAACATAAATCATATTATATCGATAGAGATAAAGAATAAAAACTAAACATTAAAATGAAGATTTATCCCGCTGCATTGTGCGAGTATCCTTCTAGTATATTATAAAGCATGTGACAAAAAACTCTTAAAAACTCTTTTTTATGAATCAATTACTGTTTATTGAAGCATATTATTTAAAATTCAAGATTTCAAGTAATTATACGTAAGTGTGAGTTTTCTTTTACAGTTTTTAGTTACATACGTTATAAATTTTTATTCATGGTATATATGTCCAGTATTTCCAAAATATGCTACGTATTAAAACAGTGTGTAGGTTCAAATATCAAAATCTTGATGATGACAAACCTAAAACATTGTTGAAGATGCATAGACCAACAAATAATACTGTGAAGGTAATAATTAGTGATCAGATATTACTAATAATACATTTGTTAGCATGATTACCATTTCATTGTTCAAATTTACTAGAAACTGTATTTTTTTCTTTTCATGTCCCGTTATTAAGTTAGAAAAATATACAGAACAAGGTTCAATATTGCATAACATGCTTTATGCTTTATTTTAGGCATAAGTTGATATTGCATATTTTAATAAAAAATAATTCATCGTCAAGTTTATTTCATATCATCAAAAAAGCTGATTAGTAGCTTAGTAGTTTGCTTATTTATAGTTCAGATTTAATTAGTTTGAACTACATTCAATTTTAGTCGCCTTCAACATGATTTAAGTATTTTAGCTTATGTATGCTATTTGTAATTCGATATCGAGTTAACACAATACCGTAAGTACGTTTGAATATCTTTTTTCCGATTACGATCAGATATTTACTTTGATATTTTAACATTTAGACTACGATATTTGTCCGACGACACTTTTTTGAAAAATAAGGTGTAAATCATCATCCATATATATTTTGTATTATATGAAGGAATTTCATCAAAAAATTATTATATTTAAATAAGGAAAGTCTAAAAAATTATTATATTTTTTAACATATAACTTCTTAAAGTTTATGAAATATACCATTTTTTATTAACTGTTGTTTATTTCTCTTATTTATATAAGAATCATAAGTGTTTGTTATGATCTTATTATTATTATTATTATTTAAATTTGAAAAATAAATAATTATTAAATTTTCTTATTATTCTCATTTAAATCTGAAATATAATTAATGATTAATGATAAATGAAAAAATAATGAATGATTAATGAAAATTTTCAGATATTTCAGTCCCTCTGTAAAGCCCATTGAATTTGTTAGGTTTTAATAAATTTAAAAATTTATTTATTTAGTTTTAGAAAATGAAATTTAGTGATTTAGAAAAATAGTTTACAAATTTAATTACGTAAAACATGATAATTTATTGAATTTTGTTTAAAATTTTCTCATATATATATATATATATGATTGGATGATGTTTGAGAATGGTTTGATCGGTCATCCCACCAGTTGACACATATTGAAATCCAATGAAGAAACAGAAACTTCTGGAAAATGTATTTTCTCTTTGCGTACCTTCTCTTTCATCCTCTCTCTCAATTCAATTAATTCACTTCAATAATAATTCATCCCCTTTCTCTCTCTCTCTCTCTCTCTCTCTCAACTCCCCACACGGAACTTTCTAGAATTCGATCTATCTTCATACAATGCCTTATCTCAACAACACTTATTGATTTGGTAATCCTCTCTTCATTTTTGCTTTTACATTCCTGTTCGAATCTACACTCATGTTTCTTCTTTTCCTATGCTGAAGCTGGTTTTTAAGGGATGCCTCCGCCGCCGCCGCCGCTCGAGCGGAGCGGCCTAGAGTCACCGGCCGGGGATACAGCTTCTAGATCTCTTCCAACGCCTTTTTTGACCAAAACTTATCAGCTTGTGGAGGATAAGTCCATTGACGATGTCGTCTCCTGGAACGAAGATGGATCTACCTTCATCGTCTGGAATCCAACTGAATTCGCCAAGGATTTGCTCCCAAAGTACTTCAAACACAATAATTTTTCCAGTTTTGTCCGTCAGCTCAACACCTATGTAAGCTTTGATAATTAACGATCAGATTTTCAATCAAACAACTACGATATTATCTGATTTCCAATCGAACAGTTTCATATAATCTATTTATTTATTTCGACTATATCGATAGGGATTCAGGAAGGTCGTGCCTGATCGATGGGAGTTCTCTAATGATTGTTTTCGTAGAGGAGAGAAACGCCTGCTATGTGATATACAACGTCGGAAGATCGCGTCAGCTCCACCAGCACAGGCACCTGTTCCATCGCCGGCCGTTGCAGCTCCTCCGCTGGTTACGTTGGCAGCACTCCCGCCGGCTACGGTATCTCCAAGCGATTCAGGCGAAGAACAAGTCCTGTCCTCTAACTCTTCTCGAGGTGCTACAACTAATTTATCTCGAGAAACAACAGCTTCCGGAGGAGCTAACGCCGAGCTCGCCGGTGAAAACGAGAGGCTAAAGAGAGAAAACGTTCAACTCAATAAAGAGTTGAGTCAAATGAAAAATCTCTGTTCCAACATATACGTGATGATGTCCAGCTACGCCACGAATAAACCGTCGGACGGGAGCAGTTCACAACCACCACCACAACAGGCGGCGACAACCACCGTGAAACCGCTAGATCTGTTGCCGCTAAAGCGGTTAGCCGAGGAGTATATGGGTAACGGTTGCCGTGGCGGTGGTGGTAATCACCGTGAAGCGGCGGAACACGAGGAGATCAGCCCCAGATTATTCGGTGTGCCAATAGGTGTGAAACGGTCGAGGGAGGGAGGTTCGGGTGAAGAGGCGGAACAGTATAATGAGCTGCAGCTTCAACAGCCGGGAGTAGATGTGAAATCAGAGCCGTTGGATCATAACGAAAACGGTAGTAGCGTTGATAATCATGAATCTACGTGGATGATGAAGCGGTCAGATCGTAATTAATTGGAAGACTTTTTTTTTAAGTGGAAAAGTGTAAATGTAGTAAAGTCCACACGAGGAAAGGGCACGTGACCGATGAGTCACGTGGCATGCATATCCCCTCGTTGTCGGGTAGACGTGGACCAAGTACAAGAAGTTTCTTGAACTTTTTTGAAATTGCAGCTCCAAATTTTTGATTCAAAGAAAAATACGTTGTTATTTGTTATTTTATCAAAAAGATTTCTTTGGTCAAAAAAGTCGACTTAGCTGGAAAAATTCAATCAATTAGTTACTAGTGGACTTGTATAGGAATTAGGCTTCTGATTGTTGTCCAAATGTGTGAAATTTTAGATTAATTTATATGTATTTCGATCCGCTTACATTTCGAATTTATTATGAATTTAACAGTCAAACAAATATTTTTGTCAGCTAAATAGCCAAAAGGAGTTATCTCTGATTCTTGTGTTGACATTAACACTTGAATTGGGTGTACGATAGTTTTGGCTTGTTCGATTAAGATGAGTCGATCACGAAGTTTTTGCAATCTACAAGATCGTTGAAGCTACACAATGATTCGCTTTGTTGTTTACTTTGAACTTGATTCGTAAGAAGATGAAAACGTTGATGTTGGGCAGTGAATAGGTTGCGAGCATCAAATGGAGGGTAGTTGGTAATGGTTTAGTTTGCTTGCCGTTTAAACGTTAACAAATGATATGTGCTCAAGTAGAGCTGTACAAAAGACCCAAATAGGAAATCCAGATTAGGTCCTCAAAATTTCTGGGGGTTGGTGACTCCGAAGCTTGGTTCCTGAGTCTCAAAATCTGATTAGACTGAGATATTGACGGAGACTAAGCTGGCTCGAAAAAGTCTGAAAACTGGTTAACCCTGAAAAATAAAACCGAAAAAGCCGGATTGGATCTATTTTTGTTTTATGAATATTTTATTGGTTACTATAGACTTGAAAGGGTAGCAGTTATATACATCTATCCGATCAAATTCATATGGAAAAAAATAAAACAAAAATTAATAAAACTGATTTTTTGGTGAATAATTTTTTTAGTACATATATATTATTCGAGTGTCATTTTACTTTTATAATATATAAAGACAACAATAGTAATAGAAAAATACACCTAAAACAATACAAAACCGCATTCTAAAACCAACTAAAAAACCCAATACTCATACTTCACGAGAGCCACAAACAACCCCAAAAGCAGACGAAATACGATAAATATGAATAATTTGTATCGATGAGATATACACGAAATACACATAGCATCATCATTAGGACCATCATGGTGCCATTATCCACTCGTGGTCTTGTTCTATTCGGAGGAGTAAAATAAACTCCAAAAAGAGTTCGAAGAATTAGAATTTAAAAATATAAAAAGAAGTTGCAACAATCAAAAGGGCATTTTCGTAGATAATATAAAAAAAGGATTAAAACACTAAAGAAAAATCTTTTTTTTTTCCATTAATAGAAAAGATGCTGCTTACAAACTTCGGTTGAATGTACTATTTTACCCTCGTCCTTTCAAGAAAACCTTCACAAAAACTCATTTTTGATTCCTTTCAAGAACTTGAGTACATGAAGCATGGTCGGCCGATGAACGGGATTATCAGAAACACAAGTCGCAGCAATCTGAACCGTCTGAAGCATCGCCGGTTTACAGTCATCATTAACAACCGTTGGATCAAGCACATCCACCGCCTGACCTTTCTTGATTTTATGACAAACCCACCCCACCAAGTTTCCACCTTCGACGTCTTTAAACTCCGGTCCTGTTGGCTCTTTTCCGGTCACCAATTCAAGAAGAATCACCCCAAAACTATAAACATCACCTTTGGTCGTTGACCGCCAGCTTTGACCATACTCCGGCGGAATATAACCAAAAGTTCCGGCGAGATCAGTACTGACATGACTCTCACATGCACTTATCAACCTCGCCAACCCAAAATCAGCAACTTTAGGCTCGAAATCTTCGTTTAGTAAGATGTTACTGGCTTTGATATCTCTATGAATGATGTGTGGAATGAACCCATGATGAAGAAAGGCTAACCCACGAGCGGAACCCACTGCAATCTTGAACCTTTTGGTCCAGTTCAAGACTTCCATGGGTTCAGTCCTGATTCGTAGCCATTGATCCAAACTTCCATTAGCCATAAAGTCATAAACCAGCAGCTTTTCTTCACCAAAAGAACAGTAACCCAGTAAAGATACAAGATTTCGATGCTTCACCTTTCCAAGAGTCTCCATTTCTGCCAGAAACTCTCGTTGGCCCTGCGATTTCGATTGATTCAGTTTCTTGACTGCTACGGTCTTCCCATTTGGCAATCGGGCTTTGTAGACAGTACCGAATCCGCCATCACCAACTATCTTGGATTTACAGAAGTTATTGGTGGCTTCAAGAATGTCAACAAGAGTTAACTTTACAAGAGGTTGTTCAAACATAGCTAAATTGATGCTTAATGACTCTTTTGACCTGCTGTTACTCAGAAGATACAGATTCTGATCAGCTGGGCTGCTGTTATTGTAACCGGGATCTTCGCAGTCGGTCTTTTTCTTGGTTTTACGGATCCATATTTTGAGCAAGATCGCCAAAGAAACAGTGATGAACAAAGTCCCAATAGCAATTGAACCCAATGACCAAAGATTAAAGAACTGCAATCTTTTTCTAAAGATCTTACTTGGGCATTGCAAACCAAGAATCCCACCACATAAAGCTTTGTTGCCAGATAAAGAAATTCTTGATTGATTGCCACAGATTCCGTTTCTAGGAACAGGGCCTACTAATCGGTTTCCAGCCAAATTCATGAAATTCAAATTCGAAACACTGCATAAGCTATCGGGAATTTGACCCGAGAGCTTGTTGTTTGAGAAATCCAAGTACTCAAGCCCAATAAGACTTCCTAGCCCCCACGGGATTTCACCGGCAATTGCATTTCCATGAAGATCTAAAGATGTCAAATAAGTCATGTTGCCTAGAGCTTGAGGCATTGCACCAGTGAAAAAGTTGGTACTCAAATTCATGATCTCGACCCGCCACTCCTTCGAACTAACAAACAACTCATCAATGTGACCAGATATCAAGTTTTGCTGTAAAAAGAGCCCGACAAGATTTGCCATTTTTGAAAGGGTGAAAGGAAGTTCACCATTAAGCAGATTATTGCTTAAATCCAAATGTGTCAACCCACTTAAGCTCCCAAATGTGGATGGAATTGACCCTGAAAAACTATTTCCAGTCAAATTAAGCTTAACCAAACTGTGGAGCTGGCCAAGTTCAGGCGGTATGCTCCCAGTGAGATTATTGTTCCCCAAATACAGCCCTTGCAGCTTAATAGACCGGCCAAATTCAGAAGGTATCCCACCTGATAACCGATTGCTGGACAAATCTAAAGTGGTGAGGTTGGTTAACTTAGCCAGAGATTTCGGTATTTCACCTGAAAGCATGTTACCATCGAGCAAAAGATCAACAACAACCAAACAGCTTCCTAATGCATCAGGTATAGAACCTGTCAACCGGTTGTGGGAAAGATCATACAACCCATGGTGTTGAACAAAGCTCGAATCTGGAATGCTAACTTGACTGAAATATCTTGAATTGTTCGAAAAAGGAATTGAACCAGAAAGATCATTGTTTGAAAGCACCAAACACTGTAATTCGGGCAAACCAGTGATTTCCAACGGAATTGACCCATTGAACCTGTTGTCACCAAGATCCATTGTAGTAAGAGAGATACAGTTACCAAGTTCAGGAGGAAGGAAACCACCAAAACGATTTGAATTCAAATTAAGAACAGAAAGTGAAGAAAGCTTCCCAATTTCCTTCGGGATTTCTTCGTTTAATCTGTTATTACTAAGAATCAACCTTTCCAATGCGACAGTTTTCCCAATTTCTTGAGGAAGATTACCCTCCAACTGATTATTTGCAGCTGATAACTCCATCAAATTTGTCAAGCTCCATAAACTTATCGGAATTGAACCCGTTAAGTAATTGGAATCAAGATCAAGAACCATCAATGGAAGCATGGAAAAGTAATCAGGAATAGACCCAACAAACTGGTTATGAGATAACACCAATTCAGAAAGATTACTACAACCCATAAACGTATCCCCAATTGAACCTGAAAGCAGATTATTTTCAAGATCAATCTCTGTTAGCGAAACAGCATTGCAAATCTCCTTTGGAACAGAACCCATTAACAAGTTGTTGCTTAAACCGATGATATTAAGCATTGTGCAGTTACCAATCTCCGGTGGGATCCGACCTGTAAACCGGTTTCCAGCCAACAAAAGTGAGTTTATCTGGTCCCATTTGCCAATCCAAGGTGGCAAAGGACCCGTAAGCTGGTTCTTTTCCACAGAAAACGTTAATAATGGAAGCTGTGAAAGCTCTTCCGGTAAAGATCCCGTTAACGAATTGAAAGAAAGCACCAAAGTCATGAGATTACGACAGTTCCCGAGCTCTCTAGGAATAGAACCATTTAGTTCGGAGTAAACAATGTTCAAGATAGTCAGGTTTCGCAATCCTCCGATGGATTTTGGGATAGAACACTTCAATGGGTTATAAGAAAGATCAAGTTTTGATAAAGATTTTAGGTTAGAAACTGTATCCGGTAACGGACCCTGGAGTAAACAAGAAGGAGCAAAAAAATTCTGTAATCTTTCAAGATTTCCAATTTCCGGCGGAAGTACGCCGGAGAAACGATTGATTCCGAGATAAAGATCGGTAAGATTTGAAAGGTTTCCAATTTCAGGAGGAATGTGACCGGAAAGTGTATTATTAGCAATATCCAAAAAGATTAAATTGCTAAGATTGGTAATGAGAGCAGGAGAGAGAGAACCTGATAGAAAATTGTTGCCGAGACCAAACGACCGAAGCTTCATGAGGTTTCCAAGCTCCGGCGGGATTATTCCGGTGAGGGAGTTGGAAGAGAGGTCAAGAGACTGCAAATTCGATAACCGTCCCATAGCAGGAGGAATTATCCCAGAGAAGAAGTTAGGTCCAAGTTCAAGGGTTTGCAACTGAGTCAACTCGCAGAGTTCAATCGGTAACTCCCCGGAAAGCTGGTTATCACCCAAATCGAGCACCCTCAGCAGCCGGAGTTGGGATATTTTCTGGGAAAGTTTACCGTAAAAAAGATTAGAAGAGAGGTTGAGGACGACAAGGTTGGAAAGAGAAAAAAGCGAAACTGGAAGAGGGCCATTGAGTGAGTGGGCTGAGAGAATGAGTGAAGTAACTCGTTCGTTTTGACAAGAAACCCCTTCCCATTGACAATGTGGGGTGGTGAGGTCCCAAGTGGAAAGCTTTTCTGGATTCAAAAGTGAGTTCTTGAACAAAATCAAGCTTTCCCTTTCTTGATTTTGATCAACAATGGTGGTGTTCACGAGGAAGAAGAATCCAAATAGTATGCAGTAAAGATACAGAAGCTTGAACACCATAGCCATGGAGTTTTCAGATAAAAGAAGTAAAAAAGACTGAGTTCCTAGCTTTATATATAAATGAACACTTCAATGGTGGATTTCTCAAGTTGATTATGAGAGAGAGAAAAAGAGGGTTTTGGGGAACATGAAAAGAATTAGTGTGAAAATCCCGGATTTGTCTTGTCTAATGTGAGGAGAGACGGTGTCGTTTCAATGGGACGCAAGACAAAGGGCGGGTCTTCTGACATGAAGTGGCGCCGGAAAGTGAAAAGCCGGTGGAGTTTTGACGGTCAAACAAATTTGGGTCTCCGGTTATTATTTCCATTTGACGATAATAACCCTGGAATGGAACAATACACAAAGGGCATTGGTGTCATTTCGCACATCACAAAAATACATTTTTTCCTGTTTACACAAAGATGCTACAATTAGGAACTCACGTGTAAATTGCTTAAAATGGACAGTGATTACCGGTAACATATCGAACATATTTTTATAAACTTCTCAAAAATAGATTATTAAAATTTCCTTAAAATATATATATATATATATATATTAAATTTTAACATATTCTTGAATTATATAAACTTCGACGTATTTTTTTTATTTTAATAACTTTTAATATTAATTATATTATAAAAATTAATATAATGTAAAGGTTCTATCTAAATACATTCCATTTTTATAAGATGTTTTTTTAAAATATTTGAATATTCACATGTCGTGTTAAGAGTTTTTCTCAATTGAATTATACAAGTGGAAATGAATAATTTTAAAAAAAAAATCTCTATCTTCAGTTATATTTTAAATGATTATTTAAACTATTTATTATAGTTAAAATGGAAATAAAATTTTCATTTTTTATATATATGGAAAATCTGTTTGATAATGGTTATATCATTATTATTATGATATTTTATTAACAAATAAATCAAAACATTTAATTAATAAACCTATATATTTTTAATATCATTTAATTTCGGATGCTTTGTTGCCATCAAGTAATTCATACTTGTAAATCATCAACGTCATATGTAAAAAATACATGAATGTGTACGAATTGATTTTTCAAAGAAGTTTAATAATGATATTAAATATCGACTCTATTATCATCTAATTATGGAAGAAATAATTATTTATGTAACAAAAAGTAAAATATCTATGAACTTGGCGTTTTTTTATTAAACATTTATTCGGTAAGTGCTTAGTAGATCACTTATTTTACTGGATAATTGTTGCATATGATATCGTTTTAATAAATTATAATTTTACCCGGTAAAATAAGTTAGAGTAAGGGTACTCAAAAAACCGACCAACACAACCTGGAAAAATCCAAAAAAAACACTCAACCCGAGGTAAGCCGACATAAATTTGATACAAAATTAGGCCAAACCGTATTAATTTGTTTGAAATTGGGTAGAATAATTTAAACTCAACTCAACCTAATAAATCTGATATTTTTATATACTATCAATTTAATATGAATCTCAAGTCTTTGATTAATATATTTACATTAGACCGGCACTAGCTTGTAATTAGTCATATTCAAATTTATATTACAATTTGAATCGTAATTTTAACTTATTTTTTACATGAACTTTTAATTTAAGTTGAATTGTTTAAATGTCTTCAACCTAACTCATATACAGTCCAAAGTTAAAATGTTGGCTCTCACTAATAAATGGTTAGTAGATAAATGATTGGATATAATTATCCTTAATTGGATCAAACACCCGTCTGAAGTGTCATAAGAATGAGTTATTGTATACTTGTAGTAGGCATGTGCCTTGTACATATTATGCCGTATGGAGACCCTTTTTTATTTATTAAAATAGTTCGTATACTTTGTCCTCTAACAACAAAGTTGATGGCTACAGTGGGGAAACCCATCAACTCCGGACATCATTTTTACAAATCCATTTATTAACCTGAATATCCAACCTGCTATGCAAACTGACTAATCTCAGAACGACCATCTGTTTTACAGATAGTCCGTAGTCACCGCATTTGAACCTCCGTGGCCACAAAGGGGATTTTTACAATTAATAGTTTTACAACTTACATTTCCTTTTGTTTCTAATTTTTTTTACGAGAACATGGGTTTTTCATGTTATTCAACAGAAAAGGAAAATATTTAAAAATACATATCCTTTAAAATAAAATATTGGGAAGTTTTTATAATTTGAAATAGTCTTTTAAATGGTTTTAAAATTCATTTAAAAGAAAATGAATAAAGGGAGGCATGATAATGTGACAGCAGGCAGAGGCAGGAAGGCAGGACAAAAGCAAATCAACCACAAAACACGAGGAGTTATGAAGCATAACAGCAGGGAATCTCCCTTTCTCTTCACTCCACTAAAACACACACCACAAATTCTGGACGGACTCTTTGTTTTAAATCTTGAGAATTAAAATTTTATTTAGTGTTTGTTTTTAGGTTACAATTTCTGAAATATAAATAATACCTGAAATTTAAACATTATGAGAGAGAGAAAGAGAAAGTATGACGTGTTGAAGCAGTGATTAGGAAATACATGCTACACTGGTCATTTTCACCAGAAAATTACAGTGGGTACTGCAATTACGTGTACTAACAGCAATAATAGACTGAGGTCGGTCAGCAGGGCTTCTGTGCTTTGCTTTAAATATGCAAAGTAAAATCACAAATCTTTTGCCAATATTCTTTTATTTTTTTAACTGACATAATAATAGTAAGACAGTAAATGGATGGTGTAGTTGTATCACATTCAATTGTTGTACCTCTTCTTTTTTCCAACTCCCCTACATTTGAATGTGAAAACCAAAGTGTGTATTTTTAGTCATCTGCTCTACCTTCGGTTTCGATACCATATGCAAAACATAACTATATATAACTAAAACACAACTACTTAAATGAACCAAGCCTAGAAGAACGTAACATGCTCTGACCGAGCAAGCAAGCATGTTCTAACCGAGTGAGTACCCGTAAACAACATTATACTACTTACACGACCAAAAGTTAGTAAGTATTTAGAAAAGCCCCTCTTCTTACTTTGCACATGTGTGTGTAGGTTCAATCAAGATTCCGGACTAGAGTGTATTATGCCTGTGGCAACAATGGGTTGTCTTAATTTCAACCTAGCATTAATATGTAGGGGCCAATCTTTCCATAAAATCAAAGGCTACCCACCCTCGTCAAACCACACCAGACATGGTCAATTAGTGGCAGCTATTAAGAGCATTCTTTGAATATGAATTAATATAGCATTGATTTCACGATTCAAAGACTTGTTTTACAACACTTTCTGTATCAATGTTTGCAAATGCAAACTATGAACACAATACCATGGCGATTGACAACAAATACGAAGAAACATTCGGACAACGTTGGATTCATAAACATGTTACAAACAATATTAATAGAATATAATTGATAAATATTCAAAATTTTATCTTACAATGGTAGCTACAATCTTCAAAAGTACATGATGATAAAAATAAATAAAAATAATTAGACTCATCATATGCTTATAATTGTGTAAAAGTAGGTAAAAAAATGCGAGTAGCAAAATATATATCAATAATGAAGGGTAAAACTTATAAGTGCAAACCCCAAAAAGAGGACTGTTGCCTTTTTCAGCAGAGCCAATCCCAAAAGGTCGTGTAAGATCTGGACCAGTTGACGGGCCTTGGTTGCACAGTCTTGGCCCTGGCCCAACCAGTGCCGAATAGAATCCTAAAGTTGGACTTTGCCATCGGCCTATCTGCATAAACCTGTCCTATCCAGTATCCACTATCCCAGTCCATTATTTATAAATAGGTCCCATGTTATTTGAATACACCTTTTTAAAAAAAAAAAATTTATATCTTAATGCAAAAAATAAAATAAAAAATTAGTTCAAAAATATAAAAAACAAAAGAGAAGTGAGAACGGTTTTTTAAGAGGATCCGGTTCATGTTTAAGAACCAAGTCCATGTGGGTTGGACTTGGACCCCTGTGGCCCCGTCCATGAACCGCTCCATGGGGTACGGATGCTCAACTATTCAACCGTCCAAAAAGTGGTTTGGACTCTTGTCTAGCAGTAGCAGTAGCAGTAGCAGACCTGACCTGATTGGTCCTTCTCGAAATCAATATGGTCAAAAAAGTGGGTTGGACTCAATTTGAAGCATATGTATCATTTGGTAAAGCTACGGTTTGATGGCATCAGTTGGGAGCTCATTCATCAGAACCAGGACACGTGTCAAACGTGTAATGATGAAATTAAAGAAAAGGAATAAGAAAAAATTGACGATGGACCAGCTACCATGCATGATATTGTTTGACTGTACATGATGCATTCTTATAATTCCTCTACAATGTACTGAATTAACAACTACAACCTCTCCACCTCACCTGGCACTAAAGAATCCCACACACAAACAAATTTGCATATGCTTTCCTGTCCACGTCTATCCACAATAACATGTTAATTTTTTATTCCCTTTATACCTTTTTATCATTTACATTTGATTCATCCATTTATCCCATCTGCACAAATAACTGCGAATCATGTTTCCTCCATATAAAAAAGTAATAAAAAATAGACCCAGACGACAAAAACTCAAGAACAAAGATGTCATTAGAAGACAAAAATTCACAGTTAGCGGCATATTTTCCTCAATCCCTTCCCTGGTGAGTAAATCGATTTACAAGTCCAACTTTACTTTAAAACTTCTTGATTGATCATCCACACTTTCTTGCTAAAATACTGAAAAGGTGAATTCTAAATCAGGCTAATAATTTAGTGAGGAAATAAATCTTAATAACAAGAAATATGTGTTATTTTGATACAAAAAGAGAATTCGTGTGAATGAAATAATCATGAGGGTCAATGAGAGATCAATAATAAAAAAGATTATTAACGTTTTCTATACAAGTAGACAAACGAGGATCAATAAAAATATGAAAGAAAAAATGATCCATTGAGATTCAATAAGAATAAATATTGAATTAAACATATAATATGCAAGCTTAACAAATGATTATTTGAGCAGTTAAATAGAATCTTGTGGTGTGGTGGAATCTCAATGAAAGATACATAAGTCAAACAATTGATGAAAATATCTAAATTTTATTTTCTTTCGTTTTTTGTTCAACTAAAATAAGATGTTAAAATTAAAAGTTCATGGAACATGACATATATAAGAGACATTACTAAATACATCTAGTAGAAAAAATTTATTGATTAATCACAAAACCATGAAACACGTCATAAATTATAAGAACAATAAATTGATTGTCAAACAATAGTAAAATATTTTATGTAGAAACAAAAATAGATAACAATAKTCAACAGAAAACGATTAGAACAAGATAACCAAATAACAATAGTCAATAAAAGCAGAAATTGATAAAAATATCCAACAAAAATATATAGCAATAACAAGCACATGATCTTAAAGTTGAATTGTTGAAACACAAATACAGTTAAGCATATAGAAATAGCAATAACCAATATCACTGGACCTTATTGGAGATGAAAAAAAATTAGAGAGACAATAAACAATAGCATATAATGAATGACCAATTACTTTTTTTATTTTCTTCTCAAGTGTAATTAATTGATATATTTTTGTGCCCTTATTATGATATTATCTACTAAATTCTTTTTGCCTCTTATTATATGTTACAATTTTTTGGTGTTTTTTTTTTCATTTATTAAATTCTTTTAGACTATTATTGTATTTCAAAGAAAAAATTTGAGCCTCTTGATATTTTTGGAACCTAGGCATGCGCACGTGTCGCCCTCCCCCGGGACGGCCCTCATTCTAATTTGCCGAGAACATAATGAGTATATATTGAAGGTGGGGAAAGAAAAGCCAGTACCTTTATTCTTGATTTGCAATGTATTCTTTTTCAGCCAATAAGCCTTTGACATGATAACTTCCAGATATAGGAAAATAAGGTTGGAGTAAAACAACTTTGAATATGGAAGTGAATCTCTTTTAGTTCTTTCTGATATGGCCACCCCAGCCCCTCCATTTTTTATACGGCTGTCCCTCCTACAGGTTTTGTGTCTATAAAAAGGCTCTTGCACATTATTTCATTAACTAAAATAAGAGGTGATTTCTCAGTTGAATCAAAGCCTCTGTATCGATATGTCGCTTGTAGTAGGGAGGGTGATAGGAGACGTTGTCGACCAATTCACACCAAGTGTCATGATGAATGTAACCTACAATTCCCAGACCACTGTCTTTAATGGCCACGAGCTGATGCCTAATCTCGTTACTTCTAAACCTCATGTTCATATTGGTGGCATAGACATGAGATCATCGTATACTGTTGTAAACCTCTTTCTCTCTTTACACACATTGAATATCTATATATATATATATGTATGTATTGACCTATATATCTATTTTAAACTGAAGATCTTGACCGACCCAGATGCTCCAAGTCCAAGTGAACCTTACTTAAGAGAACATCTCCATTGGTGAGCATTAACCGATTCCTCGATCTCTTCTTTTGTTTTTGTACTTCAGGGTACTGGATTAGGTTTTTTACTCAATAAATTTCACATCTTTTTGGCCCATAGTTTTTATATGATAAGTAATTCGCTACATGTATTAGTTATTCTAATAAAAGAATTTTAATAAACGGGAATTAACAGAATACTATGTCACAGGATCGTCACAGACATTCCTGGTACAACTGATGCTACCTTTGGTACGTAGAGTTTCAATATATTGAACCATACAATTCTTCTCTATGCATTCATATCATGCATGGACTATATGTTGACTCACTCGAACTTAAAAATTAACATATGCTGAATTATTGTTAAATCATGGACATAACAGGAAGGGAGATTGTGAGCTATGAAAAGCCAAAGCCGGTGATAGGAATCCACCGATATGTATTCTTGTTGTTTAAGCAAAGAGCTAGGCAATCAGTGAGGCCACCTGTTTCCAGAGATCATTTCAACACCCGGATCTTCTCTCAAGAAAACGAGTTAGGGTTACCAGTTGCTGCTGTCTACTTCAATGCTCAAAGAGTAAATGCCGCTCGTAAAAGATAACTCTATTTCATACGTATACTATGCATTGACTCTAAATAAAACAATAAAACCTTTAATTTATAGTTTTCATGATGCCTTTTTTTATGAGTTTGTATTTAGTTTCATAGGTAAAGTGTATTTGTGATATACAAGTTGAATAAGGAAATCAATGATGATGTTCTGATTACCTATACAACGGTCTTGCTGGGAATATGTACCATACAAGCTAACAGCTTTAGATTTTGATTAATTATGTGGATAAATATGATGATCGTTTGAGGGCCACAACACCGCCAAGTGCTACACAGAGATCATACACTGATCCATCACCAAACCTATGAATCGATGTTACTTCTCTTCTATATATGATATATCCTAAGAGGCTAAGACTATAGTTTATTCTTTCGCTAAAGATGGATCAAAGGGACAAAACCTTGTAGTTTCAACTGTTTTTTACAGTCATATACCTTCCATGGACAGGGAGGTTTTAAGTTTTAATCAAAGCAAAAGAGGATCATTAACCTCTTGACGCAGTGAAACCACAATTCGGCATAAAATGGGTCTAGAAGAGAAAGTTGAATGGATAAGCATAAAGCTAGGCTTGTATACAAAGGCTACGGTGTCAATTACAATGAGGTTTTTGCACCAGTGGCACGATGAGAAACAATTCAGATGCTCTTGTCATAAGCAGGAGAATATAAACCATGTAATTTTTACAAAGCATAGAAACCATCATGATTGGGTCAGGCACAACAACGCCTCCCTAAACCGGAAGCTCTACCACTCAATTCAACCTTCAAACACTACCAAATTGTTGAGGCTTCATCATTATTATGTTTGCTATTTGATCCTCCTTTCCATAGTGATAGTGAACAAGTTCAACAATTCCAACCTTCTTAAGATCTCAGTGAAACCTGGTGTCTATATGCCATCTCCTGCCATGAATTACAGGATTTTTTGACAAATTAATTGTCGTTTTTAGGTTAGTGAACGTTGCTATACAGGCTATTTATACAGCCATTGTTTGCTTAAGTCGAAGTTCCTGACTACTTTACTACTCTGTGTTGTTACTTCACATCAAGTAATTCCTAGAAAATACTCTGTGTTGTTACTTCACATCAAGTAATTCCTAGAACACCATCTTAAATCCGATTATGCTAAATAATATTCGATAGCTCTAGCAATTAGCAATTAGCAATTAGCAATTAGCAATTAGCAATTAGCAATTAGCAATTAGCAATTAGCAATTAGCAAACGCAAAGTGAGGTAGAGACCTAAAATGAAATTGTGAAGATCGTGTTAATAACATGCATCGCAAATTGAAACAGGATTACAATAATTACCTGACCACACTAATTGTTTCACCCACCAGCATCTCCATTATCAGGCTCTAACAACACCTAAAAACAAACTAAAATCGATCGGAATTTAACAATTAGGGGAGACGTGAACACTCACTAAGGTGCTTTTGGTTTGCAGAATGTTTTTGGATGGAATAGAATATGTCAAAGGAATTTGACTTTGAAGAAATTGGAATGGAATGTTGTCAGGTTTGACCACCTGTTTGATTGACAGAATTGGAATGGAATATATTAAAGAAATTGGAATCAGTCTGTTTGGTTCACAGAATGTAATTTTGGAATTGGAATGAAATTCTGGTAAATGACTAAAATACCCTTTTTTGATAAATTAATTTTTTTAAACTTAAAAATATTTTAATATAATAATTATTAATTACTTTAAATTTGTTTAACTAAAAATAATTTAATAAAATAATAATTAAATATTATAATGTGTAAAACAATATAAAAATACACAACTCAAATATAACCATAAATCAAATGACGTTACTTAATATTAAAATTGCTTCAAAATCCATCAAACTTGTTCAAAATAATTACATGCCACCATCTTTAAATAATCAAACATATGACGCCAAAATACCAAAGCATGTTTAAATACATGTTCCAAAAGCCATTAAACATCATAGTTTTAAAAAAGAGCTAAACCATCAAGCACAATCATTCTTGCAGAATGTACCTCACAAACTCTTCTCGAACTTCTCCTTCATAGTTCCAAAAGCTTAACACGGATTCTGGTTCACGTGTTATTTTTCTCAGTGCTTTGAACTTTTCCATTGAAGTAAAATTCATTTTGGCGAGTTCATAACCAACCGCGGAAGTCTTCTGATGTAAATCTACCTCAACTTGCACCAACTTGTCTGATGATTTTAAAAGTCTATCTCCAAGTATGGTAGCCGCATTATTTATTGCATCAACAAGAGGATCACCTCGACCCTTGCGCTTTCTATTACCTTAAGATGTACACTCTTGACTTGGCATTTGGCTATCTTATGTCGGATAGTCCAAGTTTTCATCAGATTGTTGTTCTTGAAAGGGCATTTGGCCATCTTCCATGTCAACATTTTCTTCTAAACCATCATAGTCTCTTGCTTGATTTTCATGAGCACGATCTTTTCCAAAAACATAAGACAAGTCTTCATAATGAGGGAATGGTTTGTTTCTCCATTTTGAAGCCTCTTTGTGTACCTAAATTTGCAAAAGACATAGAAACGTTGAAAAAACAATTCTTAACATGGTAATATGTAATACATAGTAATATGTACCTGCAAGTAAGACTCCCAAACTGACGCCTCGGCAGTCACACACATTTTAGAACTATCATAACCAAAGCCACTTGTGTTCGTACCATGTAGAATATCGTGTACGATTTGCCAGTCCTTTTTCATGGTTTTTATTCTTGACTCGATGTGTGGTTTACCTAATAAATTAGAATCAGGAAGCGACACTTTCAATGTTTGTTCCAAATGTTGCAAGTATCCGGATTTAAAGCCATTATCAGCTTTATATCCTCCAAYATTTACCATATTCACCAATGCATCAACAAGTTTTCCATCTTCGATTTTTGACCAATTACGATACTTTCGCCCATTGATTTTATCCGCCATACCTAATAACGATAAAGATGTAATTATACCATTAAAATTAATAACGATAAATATAAAATTGTACCTAACATATATAATTTAAAATTGCAGTCATTATATGCCAAATAGAGTGATTAAATGAGAACAAATTGCAGATTCTTGAAGGAAGAGTCCACTCAGTCATGACAGACAATTTCTATTTTAGTTTTACATTGAATGATAAAGCAACACATAAGTAAGATTTCAAAGGACATCCACATCATTATCAATATCATCCACATCATTGTAAGATTTCTTATGCACCTACATTTGAACTAACCACACACAGGCCCTGTTTCACATACCTATATTTGAACTAACCATACACAAGGCATGTTTCACATCCACCTGTACCATTAAATCGTACCATTATATTTAATAACGATAAAAGATCAAATTGTACCATTAAAACTAATAACGATAAAGATGAAATTGTACCATTACAAACCATAAAAATGAAATTGTACTATTACAAACCATAAAARTAAAATTGTACTATTACAAACCATAAAAATTAAGTAGAAGCATTCCAATCATTAAACATACTYTGAGCCAAATTATTTCTAAATTCAGTCCACTCGGTAGAAGCACCTACGGAAGTGATATTATCTTGGTTTTCATTGTCTTCGGTTTCATTCGAGCAAGGTATGTTTTCAAACGGATCAATTGGCATTTCTTGTCTTATAAAATTATGAAGAATACAACATGCCATTATGACCTTAACTTTGAGTTCAACATGGTAGTATGAATTATCTTTTAAAATTCCCCACCTTGCTTTCAAAATACCGAAGCATCGTTCTATAACATTTATTGCAGAAGAATGTCTCATGTTGAAAAATTCTTTTGGCGTAGTTGGTTGGTGTCCATCACGCCACTCATTTAAATGATACCTCTGACCTCTATAAGGGGCAAGAAAACCCTCTCCATTTGTATACCCACCATCTACCAAGTAATAATACGGCTTTGGCACCTTCAACCCATTAGGCCTAAGAAGAGCATTTCGAAGGACTCTACTATCAGCGGCTGACCCCTCCCATCCTGCCAAGACATAGATAAACTACATATCTTGTGAACACACCCCTAACACGTTTGTGGCGATATCATTCTTTCGTGTTCTGTATCTAGGCTTGTCTTCAAGTGGCACTAGGCACTTTATGTATGTTCCATCTAAAGCACCTAGACAGTTCTAGAACCAAAAAAGAAACAGTCATTACACATTTTTAATTTACTACATGAACACCGAAAAAACTTTTAATTGTATTTACCTTGAACCATTTCCATCTTCGATCAGTAGAGTCCTCACGAACAGGTTCGGGTTTCTTAAGTAAAT